TTATTCTTCTCTTCCTGGGCCTGAAATTGCAGTTGTAAATTAGCTTAATTGGTAGCCCTTCATTAAGCATTGCTGTCTGATGAACTTTAACAGGGGGGTTTAGAGTTAAACTGCAGGTTTAAGGGAGGTCAACCCCCCAAAATCACCAGGAGCAGCCCCTTGGACCCAGCTCAGCTCCAGGGGTTTCACCCTGCAGGGCAGTGACTCTTCAAAGGGCAAAAGGAGAAAGTCTGACAAAACATAATCCTATTTATTCATTTTGGAGAGATTCCTCTTCCTTCCAAGGTGCCCTTTCTGGGGCCATTGGGACCGTGTGCTGTTGGATCATGGTAAAGCCAAATTAATTCTCTCTTTCCCCACTGATGAACTCTCCCATGTTCAGAGGACACCTGGTGTCCCTGTATCCAGCCCTTGGCCAGCAAACTGCATTCCAGGCACCCAGAAACATTTAAGGGGAATATTCTGGCATCGCTTTGGAGAGGGAAAGGAGCCACAGAACCTTTGTGTGCCAGAATTGGTTCTGGAGACTCTCACAGGATGGTGTGGGGAGGGGGGGCTGTTAAAAGCTTATTAGTGATCTGTGATTTCCCAACCATCAGCCAACTTCTGGAATAAAATGGAATAAATAACAGCAGGGCTGGGATTTTTTTTTTTTTCAAGGCAATTTATTACGAGCTCTAGAAATTGCCTGAAAAGAGCCAGTTCCATCTGGGTACTTGGAAATTTGGGAATAATTGGAGGGTTATTACAGGGTGGAATTAGTCAAAGCATTTATTTACAGATTTCTTTGGCCTCCATCTGCCCCTTATTAATCTGGGGAGGCAGCTCTGAGCTGGGCTGGCAGCAAGTTGTAGAATCATGGAATGCTTTGGATTGGAAGGGAAGTTAAGGATCATCCCATCCCACCCCCTGCCATGGGCAGGGACACCTTCCACCAGCCCAGGTTGCTCCAACCTGGCTTTGGACACTTCCAGGGATCCAGGGGCAGCCACAGCTTCTCTGGATGCCCCAGATGCAAAACCAGCATTCCCTGGTTTTGACATAATGAAGATGTTTTGGGGTTTTTTTTCGACTACAGGCATCCTCATGCCTCTCTCAGGTGATTTGTGTGCAGGCAGAGCTTTGCTGATGTTGGGAACAGCTCTGGGATGGGGGTGTTCCTTTGGAGTGAGGGACAAAATGCACCAAACCCTTTTCCTTTGGCAAACCCATGGCTGGTTAATGCCATAATAAATAATTCCTCTGCTTGCAGCCTGTTTGCTTCCAAACCAGAGCTGAACATTTATACTGCAAATGAATATTGATAATCCAGAGAAGTTGGTAAGATGGCAACAGGCCCATGGATGTGATGGAGGCAGCGCAGGGTGTGAGGGCTGTGGGTGCTGCTGGGGGAGAACTGGGGGGAAAAGGGCACAAAAAAACCCCCAGGGAAGCCTCTCACAGCAACAGCAGGAAAGGAAAACTGGCAGCCAGGAGGGCCAGGGCCTAAAGGGTCCCCAAGAGAGCTGGAAAAGGACTGGGGACAAGGGATGGAGGGACAGGACCCAGGGAATGGCTTCCCACTGCCAGAGGGCAGGGAGAGATGGGATATTGGGAAGGAATTGCTGGCTGGGAGGGTGGGGAGGCCCTGGCCCAGGTTGGGCAGAGAAGCTGTGGCTGCCCCTGGATCCCTGGAAGTGTCCAAGGCCAGGTTGGATGGGGCTTGGAGCAACCTGGGCTGGTGGAAGGTGTCCCTGCCCATGGCAGGGGGTGGAATGGGACAATCATTAATGTCTTTTCCACCCCAAACCATTCTGGGATTCCATGATTTGCTGGAATGCTCCCGAGGGGATGGTTCCAGCTGCTGCTCCAAGCATGGAATAGCAGAACAACCCTGTGAGCTCAGAGCTGGGGACTGAGGCTTTGCTGAGGGAGTGGAATGTGGAGGAAAAGGTAGAAAATGCAGCAGAGCTGGAAGAAAACCCGGGAACTGATTCCTTGTCCAGGGGCTGAGGTCAGCACCTCCCAGCACCGGCTGTTCCCTGCCAGGTATTCCCGAGAACCCCGGGAATACGAGTGGCTGCTGTTCATCCAGAGGCTCTGAAATCATCTGTGCCCTCGGGTTTGTCAGGGAATGAGAGAAAGGGATTGGAAGCACAAATGCTATTCCTGCAATATTTATCACTCCAGTGAGCTTCCAAAGGAGTGGAACAGAGGATAAGGCTGCTTTTCCCGAGATTCAGCTGATACATTTTTTGTTGGTAACAGAGGGTATAAAATTCCTCCCCTGGAATTCTGCTGGGAGGGGGCAGGATGGGGGAGCAGGAGGTGGGAATAGCCCTGGGGAACAGCAGCTGGTGGGGAGGGGAGAGGCCTTTCCCTGGCCATGGGATTGCCTGGGATGGGGATGGAAATGTGGATGCAGATGGGGATGTGGTTATGGATGGTGGATGGGGATGCAGATGCAGATATGGATGTGGATGGGAATGCAGGTGCTGACAGGGGTGTGGATGCAGCTGGGGATGTGGATATGGATGTGGATGGGACTGGAATGGGGATGAGGATGGGCATGTGGACATGGATGAGGATGCGGATGCAGAAGGATGTGGGGATGGGGATGCCATGAGGATGGGGATGCCATGAGGATGGGGATGCCATGAGGATGGAAATACAGATTCAGATGTGGATGGGGATGCAGCTGTGGCTACAGATGCAGCTGTGGCTGTGGATGCAGATGCCAGCCTGTCCTGTTCCCAGTTCCCCTTCCCACCCCTCATCCACACGTCCCCCCACACCTCTGTTACACCCCCAAAGGCACTTTGCTGACACACCTTCCCCACTAAACCTCAGTTGTTTATTTGATGTTCCCCACACACCCAAAGAGCCGTGGGGGGATCCACAGGAGACCCTCAGCCCTGCAGGACAATGGGATGCAGGGGGAAGGATGGGATGCAGGGGGAAGGATGGGATGCAGCGGGAAGGATGGGATGCAGCGGGAAGGATGGGATGCGGCGGGAAGGATGGGATGCAGTGGGAAGGATGGGATGCAGCGGGAAGGATGGGATGCAGCAGGAAGGGCCCCGGTGCCTCCCCCCCCAGCAGAACCAGCCAGAGCGATGAATAATTGTCTTTTCCAGACAGTGATTTGCATTTTAAGCAGTTTGTTACCCGGAGCAGGGGTCAGCAGAGTTCCCCAGCTCCACAGGCAGCACACAGCCCCTTCCCAAGGCTGATCCCCCCCATCCAGTCCCCAAAGAGGTCCCTGTGCGGGGTCAGGGCTGAGGCAGCACAGGAGACAGGTCTGGCTTTGCTGGGGAAGCTGCTGCTGAGCAGCTGCAGGGTGAAGGGCACAGCTGGGGCAAGAACTTGCTCAAATTACCTTTTTCCTCCGAATTGCAGGTTTTTCCCTAAATCCATTAGGTATGGGATTGCTTCTGCTTCAGTGAGGGAGCAGGAGCACGTGGTGACTGGGTGGAAACACACTGGGAAGTATAAATGCTGTCCTGGATGAGGCTGGGGGGTGTCTGGGGCTCTGGGCACGATCCTGCACGTGTTTGGCCTCCCCGGTGCTGGGGCAGCATCCAGTGGCAAAGGAACTGGATTCCTGTTTTTCTCCCAAGAGATAAAGTGGAAAACCAAGTGTTTTGCCTTGTGATCTGTTCTGATGGATCAGCAGCAGAAATCACGATGCAAAACTAACTCTCTGATTGCATTAACAGGCAGATAAAGTGTAACAAACTGGAATTTTCCTGGCTGTGTGTCACCAGCCCCATCCCATCCCATCCCCTCTCCCCCTCACTGCAGCCCCACTGCTGTTTTTGCTCCTGTTTTCCAAAGTTTCCTTTCCCCCTGGATGCTTGCAGGCATCCTTGTGAGCAAGGCAGAGGATGTGTTTGCAGAGGTGGATTTAGCTTCCTGAAGCCCAAATGTCACATTTCCACTTTGCTGTGTAAAATGGCAGCGTAATTCTATTTAACAGATTGCTACCAACAAAAAAATATAATAGTCAAAAAAAGAAGCAGCAGAATTTCTTCTAGAAGCCTCCAGCAAGCCATGATCATCTCCCCCTGATTTCCAAGGTTGGATGGGTCACTGGGGTGGCCAAGTTTGGGTGTTCTGAAAGACTTTTCTCCACAGTGGGAGGTGGGGGAGGAAGAGGAAGGGCAGTGTCGAGGTCTTAGTCGTGGGGTTTTTTTCCCCTGCTAATTTTTTGGAGCCTGGATCTCATCCTGGCAGCGGTGGATCTGTGAGCAGGTTGCTGGTGAAGCCTTTAAAGAGGAATAAATGTATTTTGAAGGACTTATTGCTCGCTGATGGGTTGGAACGTGCTGACACAACGAGCTTGGCTTGTGCATGTGGGGTCTGGTTTTGTGTGTATTCATTGATATGATGAAAATATGCAATAACTTAGGAAGACTTTAAGATCTGCCCTGTCCAATTTTCCATTACCATTAGCAGCTCTTGCTGGTTTAATTACCAGGGTTGTCAGGCAGCCCTGTCCCTTTGTCAGCAGCGCCTTCACGAGTCAAAAGTGTCTGGAATAGCAGGTGGGAATTATTCAGTTCCACTCCTTGCTGTTGCTCACTCCTTTTCACCCTGAGGATGACAATTTAATAGCTACTGTCTGATAGAATCGTGGAATTGTTAAGGTTGGAAAAGGCCTTTGAGATCATCAAGTCCAGTTGTCAACCTGGCACCACCACCATGGTCCCCAGGTGCCACATCCACACATCTGGGGAGAGGAGGACTCCACCACTGCCTTGGGCTGGACAGCCACCTCCATGAAGGAATTTTTTCCCTTAAGTCCAACCTAAACCTCCCCTGGCACAACTTGGAATTTAAATGGTTTACCCCGTTACTTAAATTTTTACTCCATTAAATGTTAAGGCAGGCCCACGCCTTTTCCTTCACACATTTAAAACCACAAACCCCGTTCCCCTGGCTCGTTAAAAACCCCAGTGCCTCTGTGCACCCCCAGTTACCCCTGACTGGTGCCAGTGTTTGTCCCTTGCCCCTCGCAGGGATGACGTGCCAGGCCAGGACGTCCTACACGGAGGACGAGGTGCTGTGGGGCCACCGCTTCTTCCCCGTGATCTCCCTGGAGGAGGGCTTCTTCAAGGTGGATTACTCGCAGTTCCACGCCACCTTCGAGGTGCCCACCCCGCCCTACAGCGTGAAGGAGCAGGAGGAGATGCTGCTCATGTCCTCGCCCCTCATCGCGCCCGCCGTCGGCAACAGCAAGGAGAGGAACAGCTCGGTGGAGTGCCTGGACGGGCTGGACGAGGTGGGCACCAAGCTGCCCTCCAAACTGCAGAAAATCACCGGCAGGGAGGACTTCCCCAAAAAACTCCTCAGGATGAGCTCCACCACGTCGGAGAAGGCCTACAGCATGGGGGACCTGCCCATGAAACTGCAGCGCATCAGCTCGGTGCCCGGCAACTCCGAGGAGAAACTGGGCTCTAAGACCACCAAGATGATGTCGGATCCCATGAGCCAGTCGGTGGCCGAGCTCCCGCCCAAGCTGCAGAAGCTGTCGGGGGGCGGGAGGATGGAGGGGAACCTGCCCCCCAAGCTGCGCAAAATGAACTCCGACCGCTTCACATAACCCAGGGAGGGAACCCGGGGAGCGACCGCGGGGGGAGCTGCGACTGCTCCGGGAAGGGAGCGGGGCCGGGAGGGGCCCCGGCGCCGGGGGAGGGTGCTGAACTCTGAGCTCTGGAGGCAGGAGATGCCCCGGGGGGGTGGGGAGCCGTTGGCATGTACCATCACACCACGCATGCAGCACCAGTGTGTGCAAACCCCTGCATCTAGTCCTGTGGCATGACTCCCGCTGTAGTGACACTGTACAGCCCCAAAAGCGGGGAGGGGCCGCCCCTTCCCCCCCCCCCCGTTACCCCCGAAGGAGTAGGGACACCACACGAGCCGGGGAGCTTTCAGGGTAAGTTATAACTCCCTTTGGGTCTTTTCTCTCCTGGTGTGGGTCGTGGTGATTTGTTCAACCGAGTAGTTCTGGTGCATGTCTTTTTTTTTTTTTTCTTCGAGGGAGGTGTGAATTAGTGAATTCCTGACACCGACTCTGCTGGCCTTAAATTAACTGCTGGTTTCTAGTTTGCTTTAAGGTTTTTCTCGAGGGGGTTTGTTTCCTGTGTCAAGGCTACTGGGGAAAAAAACAAATCTGTATTTCATAAGGCTTTGTTTAGAGGACAAACTTGTATTTATAAGTCTAGGCAAGACAATAAATGAATAAAATTCACACTTTAGATACGATCGGTAAAAACTTTTTAAACCTCTGTGATTTATAATCTATGTGCAAGAAAAATGTTTTAAATAGGATGTGCTTGCTTTCTCGTGTTGATAAAATAGCTGGACGTGAAACAAGCTGAATGTCTCCACGAAGCCAAGCAGGCTCTTCTTCTGCTGGATGAACTGCACCCCAAAGGCAGAGCCACCATTCCCCCTGTCCCTCCTCTGGCTGTGGTGGCCAGCTGGGCCAGGTCCCGAGCCCGGGGAGGCTCCTTGCTGCTTTTGCTACGGTGAAAATGATGTTTAACCATGTTCTGGACTTAAGTTGACCCTGTGGGTTTCAAAATGAGCAGTACTTTGTTTGTAAATGTTGGGGTTGATGTCCTCCCTCCGTGTTCGGGTTTCCTTTGTCCGTCCCGTTTGGCTCCAGCAGCGGAGTCGACGCGGGATGGGCTGAGTGTTGTGTTGCCCCATCCCCGTGGCTTCTGCTGGGGGATTACCCTCCCCAAAATTCCAAAGGTCAGCTGTAGAGGTGCCCGTGGATCCTGTGGGCTGTGTTTGGGGCCTTCCTGTTGGCTCCTTCTCGGAGCAGGAGGCCTGGGATGGATGGATGGAGCGATGGGCGGCACCATCAGTGCTCTGGGTAGGAAACCTGCTGCCAAGAGCATCCAGGAGAAGGGCTCTGTGGGATCTCCTCTGTGTGTAAAACCCTCGGGGCCACATCCAGGTGGTCCCAGGCATGGCCGGGTGAGGGTCAGAGGAGCACCCACGGCTTCATTAATGGCTGGGCCCTTCTGGCTCAGGGGCCCTGGCCCATCCTGCACAGATGCTGGCGTGTGCTGCCCAACTGGTGACAGATCTGATGGTCTTTGAGGGGAAATTGGGGTTTGTTATAAATGTTGGCATGGAGCAAGAACCCCCCTGAAGCCCAGCACTGCTGGGGGCTGACTCAGCCACTGCTTTCCCTGGAAGTTGCAGTGTATGACCTGGCAGTTGTATGAATAGCTTTGTATGAACTTTGTACGAACTTCCAAAGTTCCTTTCATGGTTTCTCACCCTTCTGGAGTGGCACTGCATGTTCTTCACACCCGTGGCTGCCCCTCAGTGCTCTGCACGTTGCTGTGGAAGGGCAGGGCTGACCCGTGCTCCACACGTGCTGAGCCAAGGGAAAACCTTGGGCTTGTGCTCCCCCTTTTTCCCAAAGCTCCTTCAAGTTGTCTTGTAAAATACCCCTGACTCTTGTGGCTGTTCTCCCAGTCCTTGGCTGGCACCAGGAATAGCCATGTCCAGTTGCCAGGTGGAGATCCACCACCCAGCCCAGCCCAGTGAGCCCAGAGCAGTGCCCAGCCTGGGAACCAGCCAAGGTTATTCTATTATTCTATTTTATTTTCTATTCTTACCCTTGATCTGTTTTTATTCTTATTCTGTTCTTAATATATTCTA